TAAGCAGCTCTCAGAATTCAAAGATTGCTTTCACCTTTGCAGAACAGTGTCTTTTCTCTCTGTCGCACTAACGCTTTAGCACTTTTTTATTTTATTTTTTTTACAAAAATTCTTACAAGAGAAAATCACACTGTCGTCCCTCCAGAGTGTTTTATTGTACTTTCAAGTACAATGTGTGTCCAATCTTGGAAATACAAATACATTTTGAATGGTTAAAAACAAAATTAAAAAAATAGTTTCTGATCATCAGCCAGCTGAAAATACATTTATCTAGTAAATTATCTTTCAAAGCTTTTATATATTTAATTATACTAACTAAACATAGTACCTTTAAAAAACAAGTTCATAAAAATGTAGAAATGAAACCGTGGAATAAGATTATTGGGAGAGAGAGAGAGAGAAATACACACACACACACACACACACACACACACACACACACACACACACACACACTCAATGCATACGGAGAATTACAAGTATACCGTAGGTTTGGAAAACTTAGACATGTTATGTAACTAGTAGGCAATGCTCAACTCCTGAGTTCCTCAACCAGGATATAACCATAGGCTAATACATTTTTATACATGATACTCCATTTAAAGCAGCAACAGCAGTGTAGTTACTGACAGCAACATCTCCAAAGTAATAAAAAAACCATACACCCAGACAGTAGTACATTGCACACATACATGATTCCCATACACCCATCAACAATTGGTCAGAGTATTAAATCAGTGTACAAATTAAACCTTTTCAAAAATGTGCAAAAAAGTCAACATCGATAGAAAAAAAAAAACCTCTGTGTACATGCATTACAAACTGTGCCCAGCATTATACAGAGAAGCTGAGAGATTAAATAGAGAATTCGATGGCTACATAAAAATGTACATTAGACCAAAAGGGTAAATTTACAAATTTATCTATAGCTTTGTGAAAAATCAAAAGCCTACTTTCAAATTTCTCCAAGGCTCCTTCATTTATTTACAATGGTATTAAATGCATGCTGTGAGGTCTGAGATGACACACACTACGGTTTGACTAACCATTTACACTTCAGAGCGAAGGACATCAAGTTTTAAACCAAGTATTAGTGAAAAATTAGCACTGGGAAAGCATGACTGCTTAATGCCTGTTCAGAAAGGAAAATGCAATCCTTGTCCTTAAATCCACATTTATATCATCTTTGGAGGAAAGACAGTATGTTACTGGGGGGAAAAATATAGGCAAAACTTCTGAAACACACCCCCAGGTAAGGTCCAAAGCCATATTTATTAACTTTTCTTCTCCCCACGAAGGACTTGGTCCTCCAGTCCTTGAGAGGAACTTACTGACATCAGAACTGAATGATCAAGCACACTTTCACTGATTTGTATCCAGTTTCTCCCCCTTTAAAAAAGAAATCATGGAAAACCTAAGCACTAGTCAAAACAAGCTTATGGCATTCTGCCCTTCTGATACATGAGAGATCAGTGAAAACAGACCTTGCTACTACCAATGTTCCCCCTGGGACTGCCAATAGACAGGAGAACGGAAATGCCTAATTTATACTGTATCCAACAAAGTCGAATGAAAAATTTTAAAACCAACCAACCAACCAACCGGACAAGCTAAATGCAAGGGTGTTTTGTTCCCAATCCAAATTTAATGACTTACAGAGACCTGATCGTGGGGGCAATACTGCTCCCACCGCCAGCTTTTACTCTCTGCAGTGGTGGAAGCCCCACGTATTCAGGCATGAGATTTGGCTTTTAAGTATAAAAACTGCTTTCCCAGCAGCTCTGAGGCGTTCCCATTTGCTATGGCACAATGAGCAATTCAGATCACTCACTTTTTTTCTCATGGCTTTCCTTAAATGCTCCCAAACTTAAACTTGGCTTGAAAGGTAGTCATAGGAAAGAAATTTAATCATCATGTTAGTGAGTCACTGTGTAAGAGTTTTAGCTAAACTCTTCATTTTAATGCTGGAATAATTTTTTCACATTGAAACAGCAACAATGAACGTCCAAACCTTTCCTTGAAAAAAAAAAGAAAAAAAAAAAGTGGAGTATTGGATACAACATGGACTGGTACCTGTTTTATTTTCCGTAGCAACAGCTTCCTGGTGGGACACAGAGAAGTAACGGTATAATCTACAAAACAATGCTTTTGGCCATGTGTCAAGGGAATAGAAAAGCTTTGGTTGCTTTGTTTCGTTTCTGAAGTGATTTGACACTGCATACCTGTCATGAATACAAGATAGGAACTTCCCAGCACTCAGAAATGATACCGGCAGTAATACTTCCGCTATTCCAAAACACTAATGGGACTTGCATTCAAACACACAAAAATGTTTTTTTTCCCCATATGCATGACACTTTAAAGAACTCCAAGATAAAAAAATTAACAAATATTCAGCTTAACCATAAATCTGACCAATTTGCTCAAGTTTCTGAAGCTGCAGTTAGACATAGCTCAGTGATGTCTGAAGAAATGGCTTGCTACGCTGTACCGTATCTCCTGTTTCAAGCAAAAAAGCTTTCAGTCGAGACAATGGTAGGATCAGGACCACTTAAAAAAGCACCAAACCATCACTGGAAGCCAGGGTAGGATCTTGTGATCACTTTGCTAATTTGTCAAGACATAGCCAACACTCCTGTACACTTCCTGTACAGCAACACAGCTTCCTTGATAAGTGTCTACGTACAGCACTACATGTGAAGCAGCAGGCACTTCAAAGCTATGAGTTTTTTCAGAACTGGGCTAAGATCTCTATGCGAGATTTAAGATAACGTCTAGTGATCAAAGCACAGATCTGGGACTTGAGATCTAATTTTGACGTTAGCAGTGATTCTGTGATGCTGGAGAACTCATTTCACTTATCTGGACCTCAGTTTTCTGATCTGTAGAATGGGAATGCTACAAAACTACTTTGATGGGGGTTTTTTTTCTGTTTGGCATTAACATTTGTGAAGTAGCCTGAAAACGTGCATGTAATTTTTTTTTTTTTATAACTCATCCTGAAAGTCTGCTCCAGACCCCTGGTAAACTACAATGGATACACAGAATGAGTTTAGATGTGGACACTTCAAGTCTCAGCAGAGACTCCCTATGCCTGAAGAAGGATGACTGCGCCCAAAAGCTTGCTAAGAACAAGCGGCGGCGCAAAGTCCAGCCCGCAGCCCCCATCAGGCCTGCAGCAGACTCCATTTCCCAGCAGCCCCGGCCCATGTTCTTGTGGCCAGTTTCCATGGAGACCCCAGCAGCCACACGGCCCAGGGCCAGGGTTTCCATAGAGACCGGCCCCAGCAGCGCTGGCTGGGCAGGGACCTGCTCCAGGGCCGGGGCTGGAGCTTGCGGCAGTGACAGTGTGGGCCAGAGTCGGGGATGTTCTGGTCTCCATGGAAGCCAGCCGCAGCAAAGAGGGCAAGGGGCTGTTGGGAAATGGGAGTCTGGCCGCCAGCCGGATCCACCATTTTGCCCACCCCTGCCCTAATCTCTAATGAGATTTGAATCGTGCAACTCCCGGCGCCTTTGGAATCACAGAGAGAAGGCTTGTTGCTCTCGATGGTAGCTGTGGGTCAGATCCTCACAGACATACATGGATGTAATGTACCATAAAGTAAAAACTCTTCCATACTAAAATGCAGCGCACAAGGGGATGAATGTACAACCCTTTAAAGAGAGAATTTAATCAGCTTCAATCATTCATGTTTTACGCTCAAAATAAGTATTTCTATTTTAATAAGGGTTGTAGATAAATAGTTCTTAGCTCAATGGAGAGGTTCTCCAAAGGGTGAACCAGTTCAGTCTGCCTCCTCGTTCACTTAAAAATCTTAATTATAAACATTTCAACCTGATGACCTTAGCCTTCATTAATGAGGTATTATATTCACGTTCAATAATTTTAAGGAAGCAGCTATTCCTCAAATATTGCGAAAAACTCATATTATTCTGCAAGTTCTCTCTACCCACTCCCAAACAAGCCTACCATTGTCAAGACAGAATGCAGGAGGTTGTTGTTTCATGGGGGTTTTGAGAAAAGGCACAAAAGCAGCAGTCTCCATTTGTTTGCTTTTTCCAGGCACAGCAAGAAAATGATACTGCGGTACTTCGGAGCTGGCTGTGCCTTGCGAACAGGATATACCCTTAGATCTCTAGATTCTGAAAAATTGCAAGCTTCAGAGTGTGCCATCTCTTTTGAGAAGAGCATCTTTAAAATTTACGAGCGCTGCAGGTAAACCTGATATTATTTTCCCTTTAAAATCCATTTTTGTTTTTTTGGTAACAAATAATTTTCTAACCCTTTTAGCTATCATTGTCCACTACTCACTGATATATATATATATATATATATTATTTTTCAGCTTGGTTTTTGGTACCTTCTTTATCTGTTTGAAATGTATTAATTTCAATTACATGATTCGTACGCTATGTAAATATTCGTTTCTACCTAACTTTCCCTCCTTTCCCCACTGCTTACGAACCACAGATCCTTTACAGCAGAGAGGTGCAGGTGGATTCTTCCCATTGGTGGCTTCTGGAGCTTTCCTCTCGTGACAAGGCGGCCAAAGGAAGCAAATCCAAAAAGTCATTTAATTTTGGCCCCCTGGTTTTTTCCCTGATCCAGCACTCTCCTCCCGTGTGTATAAACCGTGTACTGCTGTGTACCCTGACCAACAAAACAATAAGCTAAATAATAAAACAGACAACAGGAACAGACCACCGGCCCAAAATCTTATGACACTGGCCCAAATGGGGGAAAAACCAAAGCTGTTATTCCCCAAGAGGTAAACTGATTAGGAGAGATCCAGACTCCTGGTTATGCTTCTGATACAAGATTTGGAAGATGAAAATCGCTATCACATATCACTGTAGTCCCAACAAGTTTACTTCTCAATTTTCAGACACCTTAAGCTTTTGATAAGTCCTCTTGAGGATATAAGGCAAAGAGGACCCTCGGGACCATTTTACATGACCTTGTCAGTGCAGATCGAGGGCTGAAGCAGCAACCTATTTAGTTTAAGTACGGGGAGAAAAAGAGGCAATCTTTGAATCATTTCTACCAGCATGCATCAAACTTCGGTCCGCAGGTCCTTGTTCCGTAGTGAAATCCATTAATACGTGATCCCAGAACTTCTCAAGAACCCTGTGACAGTGTCTCAGAATTGTGTTGTGTTCGCTTATTGTTCTCTATTTGAGATAGAAAAGATGAACACACCTGATACGACTGTCTCAGATTACAGTTGGATCTGGACTGTTAAAATGAGAGACTCATCCTGTTCAGTCATATTTTCTTTTTGCACTTTTGGCATTTCTTTAATATTCAAAGCTTAGTTTGATCTACATGCTGCTGCTCTTTATTTAGACTATTTTCAAAAGTTTCTGTGCTAATGCATCGTTGCTGGGGTCACACGTGCAGCTTAAAATGTTCCAGTTTTCTTGGGGGAATGTTTTCTTTTCTGAAGACTCAGAGCAAAGGTTTTAAAACACACTGACCTTGTGAGTGATCGATATAGAAACATTAAGGATTGCCTAGGAAAGTATGAATTTAAAGCTGCATTATTATCACTGGTGCTGGAAAAGAAATATAACCACAGAAGTCTTTCTTTTCACTAACTAACTGGCCTGAAATGCTGAAACTTAGAATTACTTTAATCTCAGGAGCTCTGCAGACATTTTAGGTGACTAGACCAGGTAATTAAAACAATCTAATTGAAAACAATTTGAAAAAGGGTTATTGTATTCAGACACCTAATCTTGCACGTACTAGATTTTCTTGCATGCAACACACACCTTTTCCCCTAAAATCAGGCCCTCCCAAATTGGGGTGCATGTATTAAGTGAAGAAGCTGATTTTTCACCTGGGATAGAAGCACCCTGCTTTGATCCCTGCTCCACAGGGCAGCACCTCGGACACCAACTCTTCAGGCAGCTGAAGGAACCAATGGCCCATTGTTCTTCACTTCACAGGTGTTAAAGATCATCTTCTCCTTTTCAATGGTATTGCTGTTCCACTAATGAAGACAACCTTTCTTAGAGGAATTTTGCTGTCTGCCAAGGCTTCCAATCCGGTCTTCTATTTCACAGCTTTTTAATTATCTTCATGATTGAAGGTCCATCCAAGACCAGTCCTTCAGCACAAGCTAGGGTTTTAGTTTAGCAGGAAAAAGAGAGGGTGAGTAAGTTGAAGATTAGGCTCTCTCTGCAACTGTAACTTTGGGAAAAAAATTCTCCGTAAAGCCTGTCAAAAATAAGGTAATATATTTGAGGGCATGTTATATGCAAGAAAATAAAGCGCATTTTTTGGCACTTGTCCTCTTGCGCCTTATAGGTCCTTCCGAGTCATGATTCATATAGAGGGCAAGGATTTGTTTTCTTCCTTTGCTCTTCAGCAGATTGTAGAGGGGAATTCCCTCTTGCACTTCTTTGCACCTAAATGTTATGTAAGGGAACTGACTTCTGCCCCTCTTAACTTATATGCTACGGAGGTATCTTTGGCAGCTGCAGGGTAGAGGTCTTCCTGATCTGCTGTTCTGATCAAACAAGAGACCTTTTTGGTTACTTTTTTGTTCCTTTATTATGGAGACTTCCGCTTGTAGCACTGTCATCTCCAAGAGTGTGGATCTGTAATACGTTTACCCATTACTCTCATTCCGTTACAGGAACGTAACAACTCTACCCCAACCTTTCCTCCCCCACAACTAGCAAATTAGGGTTATACTCTGGTCTGCTGTTTTCTTTTGGTCGCAAAGGCAGTGCTAGGAAGGAGCTCTGCGGCGCAGAGCCATGCTTTGCTGAGGATTGTAAGTTGTTTCAGCATCCTAATTAGTTTCCACATCTGCGGGTTTCAGCCTCGTGAGCGCTTAGAAAACTGATTAACAAGCTAAAACAAAACGTAGAACCCTCAGTAGTAACTACCTACAGTACAAAGGACAATCACAGATAAATAATTTTCTTCTCCCTGTCTTCTAGTTGCATGTGTATTTTTCCCTCCACCCTCAGTCAATCAGGGTGTTAGAAAAAGTTACACAGTCCTCAACAGTCCAAATCATTTGTCCTTGATTTCCCCTCAAATAAGGAACAAATACGTACTAAAGTGCTTTATCTATGCGGACCACATCAGTACACTGTAGAAATAAAAAGGTTCTAGTCCTGGTAGGGGAGAAAAGATCCTCATCCTAAATACAAAATTTAGATTGTTTACAATCCGAGTGAAACAGATTCAAGAGAACGGTTCTCTCTTGTCTTCTCGCTCCTCTTTGTAAAAAATAAAAATAAAAGTGCAGTCAAATAGAAAATAAATGCAGTAGATGCAAGCTGGGTTGAGGCAGGCTGTTAGTGATAATGTGCAAATGTGTGCCTTAGCAGTTCATCTGCAGATGGTCGCAGCTTGGCCTCAATAAAAATCCGCTTCAGGAAATCCCGAGCATGGTCCGAGACGTGAGGTGGCAGCTGTGGGTTTGTTGGCTGGGTGGCAATTTTAAATATGGCAGCCATTGCTTCAAACTCTGCCCACGGGGGTTTCTCAGTGAGCATTTCCACCACGGTACAACCTACGCTCCTGAAACAGAAGCAAATGTGAAAGAGCAGGTTACAACAGGCTCCGACTTTCCTGCAGAAGTAAGAATTACCACGTGGCAACTACTGCAGACCGCTGTCCACTTCCCGCTGCACTGCAATTCCAACAGAAGTACACCGATTCCCCATTCTTGTGCACAAGCGCACACAACACACAGAAGATCACAGCAGATATTCTGCTCCACCTGCCAACTAACCCAACAACCATCATCTTAGCAGAGGGTGTTGATCTAGACAGCAGGCTGCCGTCTTACTTTCCAGTAAGGGGTAGAGACGGAATTAAATCTGAATTTCAGGGGCAGTTTCAGAGTCTAGTGTCAGTGCCATCGGCAACTAGCTCAGACTCAGAGTTTGGCTAGGTGGTAGGAGCACTACGCAGCCCCAGAACTCTACCTCTGAAGACCTGCTGCACACCT